GGGGGGGGGGGGGGGGGGGGGGGGGGACGATGGCTGAGCCGATGCGATGAATGAAGCGTTTTGACAGCAGGGAGGGGCGTCATTGTGTATGTGTGCACAGAGGAGAGGGAAATGGAGCGTCCATGCCGGCCGCGCTTGGCAGGTACGAGCCACCAGCAGTCAAGGCTGCGGTGAGCAGCCAGCGTCCGGCGACGCCGAGCCACACACAGAGGGACACGAGAGCGGCGACGGTGGCGGTGCGCGGCGGGGCGAGGTCGCCCCCTACCTCCGGTGCGCGGTAGCTCCTGCTCTGCACGTAGCTGCTGAGGTGGTCCGTGATAAAGCAGCTGCTGCCCAGGTCGATCACCTTGACCTCACACCTTTGAAGAGGGGCGGATAGAAGGGGTGAGCATGGTAGCTGGGTGAGGTGCTGGGATGGAGGGCACGGTCTGTGCAAGCCAGGGAAGGACGGCGTGTCCTGTGGCCCGTTTGACCCACTCGCTCCACTCATGCCATTCTCGGTGTTGCGACAAGCTGTTACATAACTACAGACACACTGATGGACATTTGCGCGCGTGGCACAACACACACACACACACACACACACACACACACGTCTGACACACACACGTCTGACACACACACACGTCTGACACACACATGCACGGGTATACACATGCTCACACCACCTCTTCGCCCCTTTCGTGCCATCTGAAACCCCCCTCCATGCACCCACGCTAGCACTCACTCACATCAAGCCACAACAACACACACCCACACCACACACTCACACTCACACACACACACACACGCACAGTTTCTTCCTCCCTCACCCCCCTCGCCCCACCGACCTGCTGTAGCTCTTTATGAGAATGTTCTCAGGCTTGAGGTCAGAGTGCACCAGGCCCAGGCTGTGGAGGTACGCCAGGCTCTGGAGCACCTGGGAGCACACGTGGATGGGCGTGCATGGGCGTGCATGGGCGTGGATGGGCATGCATGGGCGGTGCATGGGCGGTGCATGGGCGTGCATGGGCATGCATGGGTGTGCATGGGTGTGCATGGGCGGTGCATGGGCGCGCATGGGCATGCATGGGCGTGCATGGGCGTGCATGAGCGTGCATGGGCGTGCATGGGCGTGGATGGGCGTGGATGTGGGTGCGTATGCTCGTGAGGTGTCGTTGCGGGCACGTGCATGTGCATGTGCATGAGCACATGTGTGTTTTGGGATCCCATGTGTGCATGCGCGCGTGTTCAAAGAACACACGGAAGAGGCGTCGAGCGACGGCGGCAGGGCGCAACCAGCAGCCGGCGCCCGAGCGTACACGTGCGCACGAGAGCGCGCGCTGCCCAAGCGTGCGCACCTGCACCGCTATGCGCTGTATGCGTGGCAGCGTGAAGTAGGGTTCGTCCCCGTTGTCGCGCTGGTACCTCTGGAACTCGTACAGGTTGGCCCGCAGCAGCTCACACACCAGGAAGAGGTGCTCCTTTGGTGAGGAGGGGGG